ACTACGTTCCCCAACAATCGTGGCCACGGCGGCGGCATGGCCGACGGAGCCAAGCTCTCGACCTCGAAGGGCATCGGTGCAAGATGAATAAATCGAGTAGGGGGGGAGGGAATCGACGCAGTAGCTCACAGCGAACACGATGGGTAGGTCAGTGGGCTCACGGAAGGGTTGGAGGCGGCGCGTGGTCGCCGGCGATCTCGACCGCCGAACAGAGAAGAAGACAATGAAGCCGGCGATGCAGGGTGTCCGAGCTCACGGGGCTCAGGTGAGGCGATGTAGCGGTCGTCGGCGAAGCTTGCAAACAGGGTGGAGAGGCGAGGAGGGCATGGGGGTTCACAGAGGCGGGGCCATGGCGGTCTCGTCCATGGTGGAGGAGAGCGAGGGAAAGGGCGAGGGGGTGAATGGAGCGGTCAGCTCGATCTAGACGGAAGTGAGGAGGCTATCTGCGGCGTTGCGCTGGCCGGGGACGCAGGCAGGCAGCCTGGTGGCGTGGCGCGCTGTGCGCGCTCACGCGTCGGCCACGTGCTCGACCGACTGGCGCGAGGAGGACGACGATGCTAGTGGGCTGGGCCGCCAGCTGGGCCGCAGGTGAGCGCCACGTATTCTCTCTCTCATTTTGTTTTCTATTTCATTTTCTATTTTCTATTTTTGTTTTCTGTTTTGTTTTAGTTTAGGCACTAAAACATTTTATCAAGATTTGAAACTTTTTGTGGGTAACAGTGAAATATTCCAGAGGCCCTCTCCAAGTTTCAAATTATTTGGAGCTTTTAAAATATATATAGCATTTAAATGGCCCCAATTCAAATATCATATGATTTTATTCAAAGCCCATTTGGTCCTGCAAAAATGTGCACCATTTATGGTTAGGGTTTTTCACCCTTTTTTCTCTAAATCATGAAGATTTTTTAAGGGCATTTTGGGTTCACTGAAAAATATTTTAGTAGAACCTACTTTGTTAATGTGGTGCTAGGGCTTATGCAATTCCCATTTCATATTTCATTTAAACTTAAACATGATGCACACATGAAGTGTAGCCTAGTGCATTACGAGAACTAAGGATGTGACAGCCTCGCCCCACCCCAAGCCGCGAAAGAGAATGAGAGACCCCTGCCACCGCCATCTGCCCCAGGGCTTAGCCCGACGGCGTCACGCGACGACGGGAGGAGAGGGGGGAATAGATCGAGACTCTGCGGTGGCTAGGGTAGCGGCTTGCCTGAGTCGCCCAATGCGGGAGAGTACATCATATATGTGCACACACGCATTCTTTATTGATCACAGGAGTCGCAAAGTTTTAAGATTGACCGCGGTCACATGTGTCTTACTATAATAAGAATATTATCTCCGCATTGATGAGGGGCACAAGTGTCAAATCTAGGGTTTTATTTTTGGTGTGCTAAGAGTACAACGATCCTTATTGCCTTACAACCACATATTATACTTTTTAAAAGTATCTTATTAGTGTTGGAGCTGAACAATGATTGTTGAGTAGCAAAAGAGAAAACATGAATAAATTCTTATTTTTGAAAAAATTCATCCAAAAGATATCTTAGATCGGATTAATATTAAGGAAAACAAATAGCCAGTACAAAGGATAGACAAGTGGAGCAGAACAACCAGAAATATGAAAATTACATTGTAGCCTTCTTGTTCTTCCGGTTGTATCTCACCCACAAGGGATTCACAATTGCACTGAACCAAATAGTAAGGGAAAGTGACACTTGTAAATCTCCTCGCCACTTTAGACTTTGAAGACCACAATAGCCACTCACCCTTGAGACGAGATTGGAGCATCATCTCATGCAATACAGGCTTGAACCCCATTCCCATGTGTTCAGAGGGTTGGAGAAATCAAACCATGCCATAGAACAACACGGAAAATGTCGAAGTCACCACACCAGTATCCAGCCAATAGCTCCGCTTGAAAGACACATCGACTACAAAGATATGAAGGGAACCAGCAGATCTGAGGAATGATGATGGTTGAGATGGATAAAATTGTGTAAGGTAGTTTTTCTCAACTTTAGGAATAAAGATATGTGTTGCTAAACTAGCCTAACATGTGCAACCACATTACCCTGGTATGGGAACGGGCTAAAATCAGTAACTTGGATAACCTAGTTTGCACACTATAGTGATGAGGGATAATGTAACTTCTGTTGGGACGGGGCCAACTCCAAGAGAGTGGTCATAATGTCTCTAATTGTCGGGCACAATGCTGGTACCACCATAAGCTACAGGCAAAAGAATGTAATGATCCCATTGGGAAACATAGTATAGAACAAACAAAAAATGTCCTATGAACCAAACTCCAGAACACTATGAAGATGTCGATGGGATTAGATTGGATCTTTACCAACTAGAGTTGTAGTGGAAGAAAGAGTTGATGGAGATCGTTGGTGCATATTCTCCCAACTACGATTTACAACCTCCCAACCACGAGAATTTCTCCCTCGAACAAAGATCAAAATCACGATATCTCTACCAGTATCCACGCGTACATAGTCACCGATCTGACAATGCCTCTCCATCCATAACTTAGCCGCATCGAAGAGCTAGAAGGGGTGGAGCGGCCTAATGGCATACGGAACAATTTCCGGTGGAGAACGAGAGAGTGAGAGAGGGGCAACCCTTGCGCCTAGAATTGTGTAATTGGAGGGGTTGCCCCCTCCACTATATATAGGCGTAGGGAGAGGGGGAGACTTGGAGGAGGGCCCCACCCCAACTCTAGCCGCATAAGATAACTTGGCTCCAAGGCAGGGGCACCCACCTAATGGGCCTCTAAGGTCCATGTAGCCAGCCACGCACCCCCCCTTCAGGCCTTCCCCTAAGGCAAACCCATGGCGCCCCTTAGCACTTCCGGGAGGTTCTGAAAAATTTCGGAAGCTTCCTATGCCATTTGGTTCATTTAATCTCCTGGATTTTTTTGATCTCCCGGCTTTGTTCGAAGCTCTTTCGGTTCCCTCTTTGAAATGCTTTTAACATCTCTGAAACTATTCTGGTGATTTTTCTCTCAAGCTCCTGACCCATCTAGTACTCAACACATCGATGACCCTTAAGCGTGTGAATGACGACCCACAAGTATAGGAGATTGCAACAGTCTTCGAGGATAGTATTTCATCTAAATTTATTGATTCGACCAAAGGGGAGCCAAGGAATATTTATAAGCCTTAGCAGTTGAGTTGCTAATTCAACCACACCTGAGAATCACTTCCTTGCAATATATAGCAGTGATAGTAATGGTAACGGTAACAGTAGTAGTTTTGGTAGCAAACTGAGCAGCAGTAGTAACTTGAGCAAGGACAATAGTACTAAAGCGTAGGCATGGAGTAGCGATGGATATTTAGATGAGATTTCAATATGTAACCGTTACAATTTAGAGCGACACACAATAGCTCTAATTCATCAATCATATGTAGGCATGTATTTCGTATATAGTCATACATGCTTGCGATAAGAACTTGCATGACGTCTTTTGTTCTACCCTCCCGTAGCAGCGGAGTCCTAATGTAAACTAAGGGTAATTAAGAAGCTCATTTTAATAAAGAATTGGAGCGAAGCATTAACACATAGTGAATACATGAACTCCTCAAGTTAAAGTCATCCTGTCAATATCCCAATCATTGTCACCTTGGGGTCTAAGGTTCAGAAAGATAACAAGTGCATACAACTTGTAGGTAAAATCAACATCTCATATATATTCATGAAAGCATATATGTTCATATCTGAAATCATGGCACTCGGGCCCTATTGACAAGCATTAAGTATAGCAAAGTCATAGCAATATCAATCTCAGAACGCAGTGGATATTAGGGATCAAGCCCTAACAAATTGACACGATTACATAAGAAATCTCATCCATCTCCATCTACCTCTAGTATGCCTACTAAGGAATTGCTCACACATGGTTGTGAGCATCATGAAATTGTTGATGGAGAACGGTTGGTGATGACGACAGCGACGAATCCCTCTCTTCGGAACCTCGAACAGACTCCAGATTAGGGCTTCTGATGAAGAACAGGAGGTGGCTCCATATCGTAAAACGCGACGAAACTTTCTCTCTGATTCTTTTTCTTGGGAAGACGAAACTTATAGGCTTAGAATTAGGTCAACCGGAAGTATGTGGAGGCAACAACTCCAACAAGCCACCAAGGCACGCCCTGTGGCTTGTTGCCCATGGTGGCCCCCCTCTCGTACTTCTTTGCTCAAGTATTTTTTTATTTATTTCATAAAAAACCTCCGTAAAGTTTCGTCCAATTCTGAGAAATTTTATTTATGCAAAAAAAATAACACCAAAGTAGTTCTACTGAAAACAACATTAGTCTGAGTTAGATTTGCATGTATAGATTAAACTTGCATTTGAAGTTGGCCACGTATTAGATTGAGTTTTCAGTAAATGCTGCCAAATTTCTTGAGATTCTTCCCGTGAACACTCGTATCATGTTTTTAGGAGGAAGCACCAGATACATTTCACCCATGTGCCAGTCAGATTCCTACCCTAGTGGACCTTTGAAAAGGCAACAGAGATTTGTTCTTCATCTCAAATAACTTCCAGCAACTGTTTAGGCCATAAAAGAGGCACCCAATTTCAATGATTTCATGTTCAAAAGGCACATCAGGATCAACAAAAACAGAGAAGGGCTACGTACAAGATTACGAAGACAACTGAGGTATATCACAACTTTACAAGTTTCTTTTTGTTCAACTATATACACGTAATGTTTCGTAAGAGGTATATGCTCCCCTACAGCAGCTAGCGCCCTCCATTCCACACAACTGGGGATGGTACACTGAAAATTTACATTCATGTAGTCTGCTCAGACAATAAGACAGCAGCTCTGATGGGGGTGAACGCTCATGGGGAGCTCCTTTCCGGTCAAAAATATACAAGGAACCATGATTGTGCATCAGTTGGTTCACCGTAGTCGGGACATTCTACACCTAATCGAAGCCATGAACACGTCTGAAGCACCCACAGATGATTCAAGGCTTTGTCGAGACCCTCACAGCATGCGCATCATCCACAGCTTGAATTTCCGTACATACAGATATAGGACGCACGGTGCGATCAGATCTGTCTCAGATAGGCGCTTGCAGAGTTTCATGTATGATTCTAGGTTGCCGGATTCCTGTATGTTTCTCTGCAGTGCAGTCAGTACAGCCGCTCTGTCCAGGTAATCAGGAGATACGCCCATATCAAGCATCCGCAAAAGTGTTTCCGAGGCATCCAGATAGAAACCACCTTTAAGGTAGCCTCGCAGGAGCCATGACATAGACTTCTTCCTTCTTCCTGCACTGGTTGACTCGACTCCTGCAAGCAATCGTCTAACAGCAGCAGCTTCCCCTTGAGAAGCACAAATGGCCAAGACAACATCATAGAGCTGTGTATCAGGTTCCCTACCAACAAGCTTCAATTCCCAAAGTTGGCGCTCAGCTTCTAAGCCACAACCAGCGCAAGTGTACAATGAAAGGAGCCTCTCGTGCACAAGTCCTAGAACCTCACTGCTGCCTTCCTGAAGTGCCCAATTTGATAAAAGAACACCATCCCCTAATAATTTGGATTGATAATTCTCGATGTTGCGCATGCTCTCAGCATCCAGTTTGGCAATTGAGCCATCCTTCACTGACAGATTCAACTTACGCAATGCCTTTGAGAATTCCTTTTGCTCTTTAACCAAGGCAGTCAATCCAATAAGATAACTATATACTTCAGGTTTCAGCCCACTCTCTTTGAACTCAATGACCAATTTAACAGCATCTCTGTAGTCCCCGTCCATCTATCAAAACAAAAGTAACACAGAACATTAAAAAACAGGAGCTAAGATATATGAGACTGGTATCAGAGACAGAAAGAGCATGGAACGGTGTTTATAAGCAGCTAGGGTTGAGTGCTTAAAGTTATCACACAGTTTCTAGACAAAAGAAATGGATGTGTGGTAAGTTGGTAAAAATTATCCGTAAGACTTCTAGTAGAAATCACTGCATCAATACAGTTTGATTTATATGCACCAATACGATAGTTCAAAGCTATCCAAACCCAAACATAGTCGCTCATTTTGAAATACTAGAGACTCATCATACCAAGATAAAAGTCAAAACATAACAAAAAAATGCAAACTGTGTACTACTCCGGTATCAAAATGTTTATGATAGTCTTTGGCTTGTACTGTATGTTGCTAACAGAAGCACATAGGTTTAGGATAAGGACCATAAAACGAAAATCAGTTGGCAAGTACAGAACAAATAAATGACATGACTACCCTTGGTGAATGTTTTGGAGCAACAAGCTGTGGTGCTTCTTCATATGATAATAGTTGACCTCTTATAGATTAGGTGGTGATTTGCAACTGAAATTTTCAATGCTAAAAATGATGATAATAAGTGTAATGTTGGAATATAAACCAGGAAACAAAATAACAACTTTATATGCAAACATGTGATCAGCATGGGAGTCAGGCCTTAGTTTATTGACTGAACCATGTGCTCATAACGTAATAACAAAGGCATGTTATCCTAATACGATAGAATAAGAACATGACACGAGATGAATAAATCTACAAGCAGAATCAAAGATGATCATCTTAAAGTAATATACATGTGTGTCATAACTAATGAAGACAAGACAGCTGTCATCCCAACAACCTATCCAACACGAAAGGTACCATCACACACAGAACAAGTGAAACTAGAAACATTAAAAAAAAAGGTTCCAGATCATGTAAAACTCCAGAGCTGAAGATTGGTTTTCAATAGGTAGTTCTGATAATATGAAATCACCATTTCCAAGCATAGGGTTTTCGATCCGGTTTCCCTTATAAACTGGATCAATTCTCATTTTTTAAATGAGATGTTTAGGTGGGGAGCCTCTCCCCTCGGGTGCCAGTTAAAAAAAAATCCAACCGTAGCCAGGATATGAACATTTTTTTAGCATAGATATGAACAATTAAGAGGCCTCAACAATCAATTGTGTATAAACGATAGGTACAAGCAAGCACAGGACCTGACATGGGTAAAATTGCAGGGGAATGGGTGAAGCCAATTACCATAATCTTCCAGGCGAGGTAACCGACGGGGCCTCCACGCTCGCCGTCATACTCCCCTCCCGCGGCCACGCTCCCCCTCCTGAGCACGTCCCTGACGAACTCAACAGCGCGCGCCCTCTCGCTGCGGTCCCAGTAGAGCGCGACGGCCTTCTCGACGAGGCTAAAGCCGGGGCGGAGGCCGACGCAGTCCATCTCCCCCAGGAGCGCGGAGACGTCGGAGACGTCACCCCCGGCCCCCACGAGGCGCTCGATCCAGCCGCAGGCGATGGCCGTCATGAGCTCCATGGTCTCGCCATCGACGCGGTCGGCGCGGCGCAGCCAGTCGAAGACCTCGAGCGCGCAGTAGGCGTCGCGGCCCTCCTGCGCGAAGTAGACGAGCACGAGCTGGAGCTCCCTCGGGGAGAGGTCGGCGAGCGGGGCCTTGTCGTCGGCCGCGGCGGCGGGCTCCCGCTCCAGGTGCTCGATGGCGGCGGCCAGGAGCCCGCCGCCGGCGAGGCCGAGCTCGGCGGCGTCGGCGGGGATGACGTGGTCGAGCC